CATGTCAACATATTCTGTTACACCAAATACACAAAATAATGATCTTTAAAATAGCATCATATGACCCCTTTAATTCAGTGTGTTACTTGGTGTTTCTTTGCAACCATTTGTTTAATTTACTAGCAATTTCCAGAAAACTGTTTCAAAGTAAAATATTTTTCAGTGAAATAATTAAATCTGAAGAGAAATGATTTTTCCTTTACTATAATGACACGGATATAAACTTATTTTTTTATTTACACTCAGGGTCTTTTATTACACATTTTTTGGTTAATGTCACTGTACATACAGTACAATCCTGTAATATAGGTATTATTGAATCAGTGTTATCTTCTTTCTATACCATCTTTGATTAGATAAGTTGATTGATGAAGTGAATCTTTACTTTTCCATTGCTTTCTGTACATACAGTAATCCATAAACTTGAGAACCTGAGAACTAGTTCACTGTTTTTACCACATCGAGTGATATATTGCTGCTTTAAAGTACATTAGGGATTGGTTTTGTGTTAACGGCCCTAAAAATCTATTACATATGATGCATTCCTGATTTCCTCTTGATCACACACCCATCCTTACTGAATAAAATAATAATAATAATAATAATAATAATAATAACTTACTAACCTCAAACTTTTGAACGGTAGTATACATATCATCACTTAATGACAGAGCTTATGGTAAGTCTCTCTTGAAAGGCTATGTAGAAAATGAATGGGATTTTGACTTAGGGAACTTGACTGTTGCAAAAGACAATGACACTGGAACGCAGAGGTTATCCAATCACAATAGAGATTGTTTACATACAGAAGTCTTAATGTTACAGCAGCAAAAACAGCATTTTTTAATTCTTAGGGTCAGTAAGTGGGGTATAATATTCAATGACTAACTGAATTACAGCTATTTTTAGTGCTGTAAACCTTGACTAATATTATAGGTGAACTAAAAATATAGAATAGTGTGAAATATGTCCCTAATGCATTGTACCTGCTATTCTAGCCATCAAAAAAGAGAATCAACATATAAAATCCAGTAGTTCAGTTGCTTTCTTTGTTCAACAATACAGTATGAGGGAGGCATGTAGCTGTTCTCCAATAAAATCAGCATTCAGTTATGTTTACTTGGCCTTTGTCTTGTGTGCAACGTAGAAACAACAGCCTGAAAAGACACATCTCTCTTCCAAACCCAAAAAGAGACCAGTATTTCCACACAACTCTCTCCAGAGATGAGTCTACAACAACACAATATATCCAGTGTGAATATTCACACTTCTACGCTGTTGAAAAAAACAGCATATGCTGGTTAGGTATGTTTTGACGCTGGGATGCTGGTTTAAGCTGGTCCTTTGCTGGTTTATGCTGGTCCTTTGCTGGTTTATGCTGGTCATGTGCTGGTTTATGCTGGTCCTTTGCCAGCACATGTCCAGCATAAACCAGCAGAGGACCAGCATAAACCAGCACATGACCAGCATAAATCAGCAAAGGACCAGCATAAACCAGCAAAGGACCAGCTTAAACCAGCATCCCAGCGTCAAAACATACCTAACCAGCATATGCTGTTTTTTTCAACAGGGTATTTATTAGTTACTTTCAAGAACTTAGGATGAACTGTAACATTGAGTCGTTTGAAACTGCTTTATAGTCAAAGTATACAATATCTTCTGAACTCATTGCCCATCCAGTAAAGGAAACCATCTGTGAAGCTCTTTTGATGGAGCTGAAGTGTGGGCTGTCCTCTGAAGCTCTTGTGTTCGCTGCGCTACCACCACTGCATATGCTGACATCTTTACAACATAATTTGATAAAATGTCACTAAAGGGACAGACACTAAAAGACTCTTCCTGTAATTATCGAGAGGATTGTCTTCTTGTGGTTAGTGGGGTCTGTTTGAGATTTGTGCAGTATGGGAAATGCTCATGATAGAAACGTGTATTTGCATGGCAGAAGTCACAGCAGATGTGTGCTAGTGGGACACACAAGACTCAGGCTTACATTTGTCAGCATCTGATTCCAATTGTACTGTTAGACTGTGACTAAACTAGGCACATCATGATAAGCGATAAATCACATCTCTTCCATGTTAATCCAAGTTTTTCTTTGTTAACAGTTTGCATAAAAACATTCTGACAGTCAATTTGTATAGTCTCAGGCTCAAACAGCATAGCCAATGGTCATTTGGAGTTCTGTTTTATCAGCCCATATGGAAAGTTATGTTTTTACCAAGGTTTGCATGGTTCATAACCATGTTTTGTTTGAGATACTTAAGAGAATGTCAATAACATCAGTTGTAAGTATAGTCTGTTATTTTAAATTCAAGAATTTTCTGCTTTTATTAGGATTTTTGGCAGGTTTCTGATTGGCTGATTCCCAAATTGTAAAAAGTGGGTCAGTCGTTAACATTTAGACACAGATGTGATTCAATGTGATTCAATCTAGTCATTTTAATTGCAAAACGTGTGATTGGAAATTTCATGTGAGGAAGAAAAGATTTCCCATTTTTTTATATTTCCCTATGCAGAGTTTGCAACCCTTTCAGATTGATCATGCAGATTAAGCACATTGACCAGCAGAAAGCTGTCAGGGTTCTGGACTATCTGTGTGTGTTTTGCCCCCCGTGACCCAGTTTTTCCTCGTGTTAATTGTGTTAATTTGTTTCCAGCTGTGTCTATTTTGTCCCTCGTTATCCAGTGTTTAAAAGTCCTAGTCTGTTCAGTTTGTGTTTGTCAGGTCTACTCGTTCTCTACGTGTGTTGGCTCAAGCTCCTATTGTGGATTATCTCCTGTGTTTCATGATTAAAGACTATTAAACGTTTCCTCGTGACTCCAGCGTGTTCCCTCCACAGCGTAACGTGACAGAAGACCTGACCAAAACAGTAACCTCTGTGTGTCCGTTTTGTTTCCCGTTTTTACCCAGCGTCTTTTTTTTCGTTGTTCCCTCATGGATGCCCTCCTTCGCCCGGAATATCGCCTCCTCCTGCTGGAGCAGGGGGAGAGATTGCTCGAGGACCATACGAGACTGTTCCAGCTGCTAGCGAAGACCACCAGCTACCCGGATGACGCGCTCTGTGCGTTCTACGACGC